CGTCTGGTCCAGGCCATCCGTTTTGTATTACATGGACACACTCTGCGATCATATTCATAATATTTATCCGGATCTGCGGCGCAGCGCGGCGGGTTCAACATTCAGGGAGACACCCGTACCCAATTAATCGCTCCATGCGACGGTCTCCTAGTTCATCTCTGAGAAAATAGATTGCTCATCCATGCAGTATGTACACGGGCTTGGGTGGGCAACTACTCGGAATGGAAACCATTACTATATGGGACCCCCCACCTGGCCGCACAGGCCACCTGGCCACTTGCTCCGTACAAGCCTGTAGGTTGAATATTCTTGCCTACTCGTAGTCGCATGTTGGAAGGGATATCCATGGCTCGTCGCAAACCGAAATTGGGCCTGATTGGTGGAGTTGACGTGATGTTGTGCCTGCCAACAACCGGGGCGGATGTCCGAAACACGTGGTTTCTTATTTTGACGTGGGATCGCTGGCAGTCAATCGCCTCTCCCTCCACGACCACGCCGCCGTTTCTTGTGTTTTCATACTCGTTATGCTCGTAGGATCCCAGGCTACCACTCACCGTTGTACTGGACGCTTCCCATTGCCCTACGTGACGCACTACGGCCAACTTCGCCTGTGAAATGCCAAAATTGGCTTCAAAACACGGCTGCTCGCCATGCCTGTATCGGGCGCACCCCGAGGGCCATGTCTTTGAGACTTTGCACTTGTGGTAAGCACATACCAAGCATTCTCTGAGCGCCGTTTCACTGATCGAATCTCGCTCCCGGGTAAGTGGCCGAGTACATCTTACAGGCGCATCCGAACTCACCGGCGTTACGAAGACAATACACGGTACAATTCGAGTTCTTCAGAGGGGCTGTTGCGGACGCCGTCATTGATATCGTGTCTCCTGCCTCGTACGTTCATCTCTTCGCATCACTTCTATGAGTTTGCTGAATCTAGCGGGTTTGTGTAGGGCTACGATCTCCAGTCCTGCTTCCACGTCGAGTGCGTCAGTGCAGAGCGCCGCATCGACGACGACTCTTGACGGATCTTCATCGAATACCACCGCGGGGGCATCCCAAACGAGTGCTGCTGCAGCTTCCAGCACTCCCGTTGGAGCGATTGCAGGGGGAGTCGTTGGCGGAGTGGCCGTCCTCCTCATCCTTCTCGGCGTGTGTTGTTATATATCTAGGCGTAGACGACGCGCTGCCGCGGCCTTCGCAGACGATGAGAGCCCGACTGTGGCTCCTCGCCGCCGGGATAACGATATGCTGGAGGTGGATCCGTTCGTTGCAGGGACTAGTACGAGTGTGGTGTGGAGCGATGGTGCGTGCCTCTCTCCCTCACTCTCGATGAATTATGGCGTGAATCTCATCATTGTACTTAGCTGCAGTCCCCCCATCCTCGGTGTCGACTCCGAGTTCTGATTTAAGCGGTGGTAGCAGCGTCATTAATCCCCTCCCGTCGAAGCTGCGGCAGGATCGAATAGGGACCATGAAGAGCACGCCAATATCTGCGCCGTCGTCGACTCGGGCGCAAGCGTCCCCGGCTTCGCGAGCGTCGCGCGACGCGTTGGAGGAGGAGGTGAGGAGGCTGAGGGAACAGTTGTTGCCGCCTTCGTATGATGCCTCTGGGCAGGAGCATGAAAGTGGGGTGGATTGATTGGTATAGGCTGGGTTCATAGATTTCGCGGGAGGGAGGGATTGGATTGCTCTATGTTAGCCCTGTCTCTCTGTCTACTAGCGAAGGTGTAGCACCCTGTGGTTATTGAGGTTCCTTCACTCTACCACGCATTCATCTTGTCGACCCCCGGATTGCTTCGTGTCTCAGCCTTATCTTTGAAGAGGTGATTTGCCATCGACTCCGGCATTTTATTTGCATGTCACAAATCCTGGTCTTCGAGCGCCGGGTATTTGTTATCAAACATGTTCCTTACCATCCACGGCCTTTCACATCCATATCTTCGTGTTTTCTGGCCTTCGAGTGCCACTCTTCCCAAGCATATACACCCTGCCTTTGCTATCAAAACCGCAAGCGTGCTCTATGTTAGCAACTTAGCCCTGTGTCTCTGTCTGTCTACTAGCGAAGGTGTGGCACCCTGCGGTTATTGAGGTTCCATCGCTCTACCACACATTCATCTCGTCGACCCCCGGATTGCTTCGTGCCTTATCTTTGAAGAGGTGATTTGCCATCGACGGCATTTTATTTGCATGTCACAAATCCTGGTCTTCGAGCGCCGGGTATTTGTTATCAAACATGTTCCTTGCCATCTACGGCGTTTCACATCTATATCCATATCTTCGTGTTTTTTGGCCTTCGAGTGCCCACTCATCCCAAGCATATATGCCCTTCCTTTTCTATCAAAAAAAAAAAAGAAAAAAAAAAAAAATGTCGACTTTCTTGCCACCAACTAACTGCCTTCCTCCTCGGCTTTCAACAGTGTTGAACTCGTGGCCATCGAGTGCCCAATTTAGGATGCCCTCAAATGCTGGATTCAGCTGTTTCTCGCTGTGCCATTGAGAGCTTGGTGATCTCCGCTATCGGAAGCACTTCAGATTTTGGTTTGTTCTTTCATTTTCTACGCATCCAGGCCATCGAGAGCTGGATTGCACCCTGACTCGTGGTTGAGGAGCCTGTGACTTGCCATTGATGGCAGTTTTTCTGCACATATAAATGGCTGGTCTTCGAGCACCGGGTGCTCATTATCGAACGCTTCTTTCCCTTTGAGGGCCTTCACGTCCATGTCTTTGTGATCACCTGGGTTCATCATCCATGCCTCTTTTCATCGAAAGCATGCCGCACTTTCTTATCGTGGTTCCGAGCGTGCTCCACTCTTCCACTCAAATTTGCTCTCCGTCGAGTCCATCTAACCACCTGTGTTGCGTGCGGTAGAGATCAGTGGTGCAACTTAGTTGAACCCTACCACTGCTCTATTTCATTCGTTTTCTGGTCACTTGACTTGGCCAGATATGTTCATTGAGTCTGACCTTATTCGTTTGCTGTTCGTCGCCTATTTAACCACGAGGCCTATTCAAGCGCCTTACAGCTTAGGACTATCCCAACAGGGAAGTTGAGCCTGATTCACCCTACGACCAAAGGGAACTCCTCGAGCTCTTGCGTTCTCTTGGCTGACCCTCATCGCCTGTTTTCATCGAGTAATTATCGAGGGCACTGTTATCTCAGCCATCGTTTGGCTCGATTCCTCATCATCAACGTATCGCACACCACATTACACTCGGCAAAACTTGATTTTCGGTCCTTGCTGTCTTGTGTTCTGACTCTCCCTGTCTCGGGAATTGACCCATCCTTTCAGCATGAGGTTCCCACAGCTGGCCTTTGTATTACACCGGGTTATTATCTACCCTGGGACTACACAAGGTTAACGTTGGTGTGAGCCAAGTTCGATTCCAAGGTCCCGCCGGTGTTGTGTCTTGACTATCGAAATGTCGCAAGAACACGGTGGCGGTTCTGCCGTGTTTGATTCATTCTAACTAGCGGACAACAGTTCCTCTGGTCAATGTCGGTTTAATCTGCCTTCACGTCATATCCGCGCCCCGTTTGACAAGATTGACTTCCCTTTCTTTTGGGATTTGGCTTCAGTGTCGCATCGGAGCGGCACAATTATCTCACACGAATAGAAGGAATTGATTCTTCGCCGCTTACTCATTGGGTTAGCCGTGGGCGTTGATGATGCCCTCGTCTGGCGTCTTCGTTTTGGGTTCATTCTCACGCCTCACCATCGCCCTACGACCTGGAGATCAGCGGTTCGAGAAGTTGAATCTTCCGCTGCTCCTCCACCCCCACTGAATCTCTGTGGCTGCCCCGAAATTCTTTTCGATTTCCAGACGCAAACGAAGCGCAGAACAAGAGTGAAGTACTGATGAGCTTGTGAAAGCAGGACGGGTTCTTGTGACAGCGGAGTGACATGTGATCCGTGATCCGCACCTCTCATCGCACCACAATCATCTGCCAGCACTTCGTGCCATGCAACGCCTACATCGACGAATCCACCCTCCAGAGTGTCCAAAACTTTTCCCGCCCGCCCTCGCCTTCAATCATCTCCATCAGCTTCTCAATGGCCTGTGGGGCAGTACACAGGTAGGGTGGTGGTTGGGGGTTCATTCTCACGCCTCACCATCGCCCTACGACCTGGAGATCAGCGGTTCGAGAAGTTGAATCTTCCGCTGCTCCTCCACCCCCACTGAATCTCTGTGGCTGCCCCGAAATTCTTTTCGATTTCCAGACGCAAACGAAGCGCAGAACAAGACCCGAGATTTATTCTTCGACGCCATTTCTGAAGTCAATAGTGATGTTCAGGGCCGGGCTGGGCCTAAAAGCCCGGGCTTGGGCTGGGCTTTGGCAGGCTTGGGCTTGACATTTGCCGAGCCCGAGCCCGAGCCCGCATCAAGCCCGGCCCAAGCCTCAAGCCCGGGCTCGAGCCTGGGCTTGGTACAAGTTTTTTTTTTTCTACTAGGAGACTTGCTTAAAGATTGGGTGTAAATGTATCTCTTGCATTGCCTGTGGCTGATTCAACTTGCATTGCAAGATAAAGGCTGGATCAGGCAAAACATGCACTCTTCCCGTGCGTGGAGTCATGCCGGCAGGAGCCGAAGCCTGATCTTGGAGCAGATCAGAGAATATTCTGAATATGGGTGAGTCAACTCACCTGTTCGGCAGCAAATGACACTCGGCAAGTGATAACCAGGCGCCGGAGAGCTTGCCGAGCGCCGGTGATTCGGCCTGCCTGATACACAGCCGAGCCCGGGCCTGGCGGGCTTCAGCGGGCCTGAGATTTCCCAAGCCCGAGCCCTGGGCCCTGTCAAGCCTGATGTCGGGCCAGGCTGGGCTTGATGAAGCCCGGGCCGGGCTTGGTCGGGCTTTCGGGCTCAAGCCCGGCCCTGAACATCACTAGAAGTCAACGTTCAAGCAGATCCGAAGGTTTGATTCCCGGTGCTGCCTCACCCTGTGACACTTGAGTATTTTTTTAAAAAATCAACCAGAGGAACCCGGGAGTCAAAAGCAACTCTCGACCAGGGAGTCGAACCCTGCTCTCCCGCGGACTAGCCAAAACTCTGCGATCATGACAAGCAGGTGTACTGAACCGATATACTAGTCAAGACATTGACGGTGGCACGTTAGATACCCAATAGCAGTTCGGATATCTTCGGAACTCCATAACATGCTAAGTAATGCCAAGTACTGCCGACTACGATAAGCAGCCGGAATTTCCGATCAGGGCATAACGAACTTGGAGCTACTTCGAGACAGCAAATCTGAATAATTACTAATGTTGAGGTTGACTTTGCTATTTCACGACTTTTAATCCCTGTTCACGCCCGGCAAGCCCTCCACGTCCCCGCACCCACTCCCATCTTCCTCCACGTCCTCCCCTGCTCAAACATCACACACCTCAGCTCCGGATTATACCTCGTCCACACAGCGAGATACTCTGCGCAGGCCTCCCCCTGGGGTTCGACGGCGACGGACTTACCAAGGTATGTGTCCATCGGGAGCATAGGGGCTAATCGGGGAGCTCATCATCATCCCGAGCTTGTTACCCACCTCCTCTGCCGCCTCGTCCCCAATCTCATGCTTGTTCCCCGAGATTCTATGCTACATTTTCCTCTTGTCTCTACCCGCGCTCAAGGAGGACGCACCTCCCCTTCCTGGGACATGGTCACGCAGGAGCCATCGCCGTCATCGCTCCTGCACTCAACTGGACTCTCCATTGATCCTGGGACAGATCTGCAGCCAGTGGCGCACAATCGCCCTGGCATACCGCTATGGAGCAACATCGTGCTCTCAGCCTCATACGGGGAACGTAGGCAGAAGAAATACATCGATCTCCTGCTAGACCGTGCCGGTCCCAATACCACCATAGACATCTTGCTCCGATGGACGACAACGCGGTGTATCGACGACTCGCCATCTTTGCGAAAGATCGTGGAGAATTGTGCCAGATGGCGTTCTCTGCATATCCATTTCGATTGTGTATACCCGCCGCCGGAGGAGTTGAAGAATTTGGGAGCGCTGCCACTACTTCAGGTGCTCAAATTCAGCGGCTGGCGCACGTCCAGAGTCGCCGCAGAGTACGAGGCGCTGTTCAAAGGGGCGACCAATCTGCGAAAAGTCGTCCTTGGTGGCAAAGGGAGGGTATCTGTTCCTCAGATTGATATCCCATGGGAGAACATCACTGCGATATCGACTTCACACCCGTAGGGCCCAAGAATCGTTATGAGGATACCTGGTATCATTACGGATGCGATGCCGCCTATTACGGCGGCGGCGATCAAGACGCATCCTCGAGCAGCGAAGAGGAGCCGGAGCCAAAGCCACACATCGGGGTCGTATCACTCGTCCATCTGCTTCGCCTCGTCGTCACAGACACCTCCTTTCTCTCCCACATCGACGCCCCAGCCTTGCAGGAGCTGCAAACCCATGGCTCCATCGAGGACGTACTCCCGTTCATCAGCACATCCCACTGCGTCCTAACGCATCTCACACTGTTCAAATGCTCTACTTCGCCGCTGCGGATCCTCGCAATCCTGAAGGACACTCCCAAACTTGTACACCTCGCCCTCGATTTTCTGGGCCCTGCCGAGGAGACCGCGGAACTCGTTTCAGCGCTCACCGTCCGTACGGATGCCGATGGGCCCATATACGGCCCGTGCCTCTCCTCGCTATCATGGGGCGATCGAAATGATACGATTGACCGCCATGCTTTCGTTGATATGGTGGAATCTCGATGCACAGTTCAAGTGGGCTGTCAGCGGCTTCGTTTTGTCGGGGTGTACCTCGGTCGAGTTCGGATGAAGGGTGCGGGATTGCGTCTCAAAGCGCTCGCGGGAACGGGACTGGAGGTTGTGATTATGAATGCAAAGAAGGGGAAGCGGCTGATGGAGGGCTGGAGACAAGGTGGCATCGGAGGGTTTTCTTAGGAAGGTGCGAATGCCTCGGGTGGTTCAAACTAGAACCTACTTAGTGTGTTATGGGTGGGACCGTGGAATTTTTATCGTGCGATGATCGTGTCCTTGAAGTGAAAAACCATCGCGCCCAAGTCGCACACAGTTGCCGGGATTCGAACCCTGAACACCGCTTGGTAATAATTCGCAAGCGTCCTAAGCTCCGAGTCAGCTGTGGCCAGCCGGGACCAGGACATATCTAAACGCGTCAATAATGCAGCCATAAAAAAAAACCCATCAGCAACGACCATACGCACCGGCAAGGAATCGAACCTCGGACTCAGTCGTGGGACATCGCAGGGATTGCCCTCCCTCCATTAATCAGCTGGAGTCCATAACCTACGGCACCTCATGGGCTACCCTGGTCCTGAACATCGCTTAGAGCAGACTCGTCGATGATCCAGTCAGGCCAAAAAAAAGAGGAACCGCCACCTACCGCAGGCAACATGTCAAAACGCGTTGATAGTACAGCCAGTGACAAAAAACAAGCCATCAGTACCGCTATACGCTCCGTCGAGGAATCGAACCTCGGACTAAGGATGCTGGGAAATCATGGACTGAGTCCAGACTTTTCGCCGTGTGCTGGTGAGTTGTGGACTCTCAGAATCGGTGGTGACTTGCGTAATTCTGTTTGTCTAATTCCGTTCTCCTCCGAGGGAACTCAACGAATCAATCGAGCATCATGAAACCGTTGTGTTCATTTGATCGAGACTTGATGGCCGTAATACACCCGCCGGTGCCGAGCCAGGTTTGCTTGATGATCACAAATGGAATCAACCGTTCCACAGACCAATTTCCAGGTTCCGACTCAACAACGGCACGACCAGAGTTGTGGGTGAATACCCCTAACTGATCTCGGTCATGGGAATATTCCTCCCAATGTATTGGATCGCCTCCATTGATCGAGGCGCGTGCCTGGCCTGATCGAGGTCAACAAAAAGTGCTTTGTGGGTCCGCGCCACGAGCTCAATGAATTGAAAGAGCCCCTGTCTTGAAAGTAGAACAACGCATGCGGCTCCGATATCCGATGGTCCGAAGCCGACCAGTTTGGTGAAAGAGATGCATACAGCATTACGAGGTTGAAAGTAAGCTGGGTGTGCAAGAAGGCGAGCCGAAATCGTTCGATCCTGCCCATCCAATGTCCATGTAATTGAATGACTGAAACAACGTGGCTTGTCCTCGCTCGTGTTAAGACCCGAAGCTGGTTGAATTCCCATTCATATCGCGACTGAATTCTCGCACAAAACCTCTTGTGTTTTCTGTAGCCCCTCACTCGTTTTCTATGGCACAGATCGTCTTCCTCGTTGGGCGAAACAAAAGAGAGCAAAGGTATAAAATCCCGAGCTGCGACGCCCAAAGACTCCAGTTCATCCCACTCGATTTACTCCACACTCACTCGCACTCATGGACACCTTCACCACCATCCCTACCAAAGCCGACGAGACCCTTCCTCCCACCAACGCCGACGGTGGCGGAGGCACCAGCGGCCAATGTGTCGTCTCCAAGGAGGACGTCACCCTTCCCCCCACCAACGCTGACGGCGGAGGCGGCACCAGCGGCCAGTGCGTCGTTGCTTGAGCTGTTTTATTGCTCGGTGTGTGCTCTTCTTCCTGTAAACCCTTGACACCACTGACGAAGGAGCAGAAGTCATCATCCAATCAATATTCGTTCTTCTTGTCGCGTTGTTGGGAGGCTCTTTGTGATGCGTAGGCAATCATCGCGCATTCTTGGTCGTTCGAGTCTTTCTTCGATGTATTTTTGTTTGAATAAATTCGTGGTTTACTGTGCTTACACCGAACGTGCGATCATCCCTGAGGCCTACGAGCCAAGTTATTTTTCTCTAGTCTTTCAGATTTCCAATCAGTCATAATGAACCGACATGTCTTTCTGTTCGAAGGGGGCGGAGGTTGTATTAGGGGGACTCTTCATTGCGCACTCCGGCTGAATTACCACCAGCCGACGGAAGAGACGAGGTCAAAGCCTCCTGACGTTTTTACACATCTCAAAGCTCCTTGTTGTAAGCTACTTACTCGCAGAATTACATGCCACAGCCATACCTGGGTACAACGTGTTTCCAAGCTCGATCGCCTCCCCAATCGAAGGCGATGCTGAGCTAGGGCGGAAACACAGCCCAGATCATTCCATTCATATCCTTCCGCGGAGCCTCCTGTCTCATGTCTCAAGAATGGCATATAAGGAGCCACTGAGCGTAATCCTGCTCCACACCCCTCGCACTCCCTTTGTCTTACACCTCCATACCCACCCACATAATTCCCCATCCTCACCCACACACGAGCATGTCTTGCACCCCTACACTCCTCCGCGATCAAAAACTCCGCGCGATGCGCTCAACGCGTAAAATCAGATCTATCCTGGGCGAAATGCCTTCGACAGAGGTCCTACATGGTCTCAGCGACGCACCAGAGCGCCGAGGATCAAACGGCTCTCTACGCCCCGTCCTCGTCATCCGACTCCCCAGCGCATCTTTCACCACTCCTGATAGCGCTGCCGCATCCCATGTGCCACTATCACCCCTCTCACCCGCTACACCCACATCCGCGGTCCTCGCAGCCGAAGAGGATACGAAACGTCGGAGGAAGGTCGCCAAGTTGACGTGGATGCTGGGCGAGAACGTACCGGCCGAGTTGGCTTTTGGGCCCAGAGTACGCCGCCGGTCTTCTGTGACGAGTGCACTGGCGTTTGAAGGGCGACCGACCCGGGGTCGACGGGTTTCGGCTGCGGCTACAAGTTCGACGATTTCAGAGAGTGTGGGGAGCGAGTCGGATGCGTTGTTGAAGGGGGTTTGAGCGTTTGAGCTGTCGGATACCCGAATCCTATGATATCTCAGTGCATGATCAGTACTACTGATCGATCAGTCTTTACCAGTCATTAATATTCACAATACCATCGTAATCACACTCATAATCACATTGACCCTCGCTTTATCTTGTGCAATTTACCTCTGAACAGAATTTCAACCTGTGTGAGCCTGAGTTGGATTTAGGACAATGATGATTCACTTGTCCTTTTATTTCATATTGTTGCCATCGAGATGGAGGATATAGATTGAACGCCAGCCCCACGAGCCCGGCGCCGATAGACTGAATAGATTTTTGTCGAACTCGCGTCGCATGGCGGACAGTGGGTGAGCGTAGTC